TACTACTACTATTACTACTACTACTGCTATTAGTACTACTATTACTACTACTACTACTATTACTACTACTACTACCACTACTATTACTACTACTACTACTATTAATACTACTACTATTACTACTACTACTACTACTATTACTACTACTAATACTACTACTACTACTATTACTACTAAATACTACTTTTACTACTACTATTACTACTACTAATACTGCTATTTCTACTAGTACTACTACTACTACTATGACTGCTAATACTACTATTACTACTACTAATACTGCTCTTACTAGTACTACTACTACTACTACTACGACTGCTAATACTACTATTTCTACTAGTACTACTACTACTACGACTGCTAATACTACTATTACTACTACTAATACTGCTATTACTACTACTACTATTACTACTACTACTACTACTACTACTACTACTACTACGACTGCTAATACTATTATTATTACTACTACTATTACTATTACTACTACTATTACTACTACTACTACAACTGCTACTTTTGTTGCTTCTATTAGTAGTGTACTATAACTACTACTACCACGTCTTCTACTATTTCTACTTCTACTACTGCTTACCCAATTACTAATACTGAAGATAGCAATGGAAGTAGGATTTGGAGATTCCTTAAGGTTGTCTTGAACCAATTTAAAAGTACTGGCAATCACGGAAATATTCTGTTGTGTTGATTTGAAGTTGTAATCAAATTTTTAAAAGCTGCATTAGTGCGTTTTACCTTCGCTTTCTGAGGTGCCTTTACTTAGCGTCGTGTCTTCATTCTGCCATCGAAGATTTCCATGTTGGGTATTATCGTCATTTTGACTCAGAAGGGATGAATGAGGTGAACGAGGTAAATTTTGAACTGGTTTTGTCACCTGACCTGGATAATCGTATCCGGAAAGATCTAAACCTGAGACAAAAGTGTATTCAAATTATAAGGGTATAACTGAGCTCTAGAGTACATAAAAGGAATCTCCTCTGAAAATTAGATGCTCAGCTCTGAAAATCAAATAAACCGACTATTTGAACCTAGTCTCAACAACTAGTCGCAGCAAATTTCGAAATAGTGAACCTTCGCATCATACGATATGGTGTCTATGGCGGAGAATATCGCGATCAACAGTTTGAAACTTCAGCGAAAGGTGCTGGCGAAATCGGCCAGCCGTAGACAAGATTCATTACTTAGTCAAAAAAACCGTAACCGATCTGTTTCAAGTACAACAATTTACCTCCAGAACTTAACGAGAAGTACTTTCGTGAATCTTGAAGGGGTGATTAAAAGTTTTCTTTCAAAAGAGGACTTATAATAACGGGATGACAGCTCCGCTCTCAACGGTGAATTTTCAATCCAGGCCTTCTAATTTCCCCTCCCCTTTAACAACATTGACAATTGGAGAGGTGGGAAGTTTTCGATTGCAAGGAGAACTGTAGGTTTTAACAGTTAATTTGAGTCATCTCAATATAGATAAAGAGGTAAAAAAATAAAAAAGAAAAAGTTTATATTTCATGCTAAAATGTTCTAAGAGAAATACACAATGAATAGGAGAGAAAATCAGGCGAAAAAATGAACTTCGATGTCAGATCTACCATTTAAAGGATCTTAGGAATAAGTACCTGTTCGTGACAGAAGACCCTGGCTTGAGGGTATTGCTGTAACAACAGGAACAGGAAGATTGACATAGACTTGTAAATCAATGTTGTTAACGTTGCTTCCTGCTCTCGTTTCTGCATCTTCAAAAATGAAAATGATTGGACGACTTAACTTGAGGCAAGGTACAAATTCGTGACTTTGGGTGTGTGGGAGAATTGAACCAAAAAAATAGGCTGAAGATAATTAATGATGGGCCTCGCGAAAATTATTTAGGACACAGTTTTGAAGATTGTTCATTATATTTCAAAATTTCTGGCTTATGACAACGAGGAGGTGTTTCCTTAAAGGGGTATATAACGCAGAGGAAGAAGAGGTTCAGTGGTGGAGACGCTCAGATTCTCCTCATTCAGTTTCAACTTAGAAATTGCGTATTCTTCTTTAAATTGAAGAACATTCAAAGTTTTCCGAGTTGTGTAACTCGCAAAACATCCTCCTCTGCGAAAGGTTAACAATTTGTCAGCAGATTCTTCGGGGAAGGCTATAGTTCGAACATTTCCGAAATTAAAAAAATAATTTTCTTCGTCCATAAAATTATCCAAGAAATCTATTCTATTTCATAATTTTTGCAGGTAAGTAGGAACAGATACTTAACGGGTAATATACATATCTGACCTTCATCGGCCATTTCTTCTGTTCGGTTCATCAAACTCTCCAACTTCTCCCCTATATTTCCCATGTCATCTTTTATCTTCTCTATCTGTTCAAGTCCTTTACCCATGTCACCTTCAATCTTCTCAAGACCTTTTCTCATGTTTTCTAATTGAAAGGAAAATGTAGATTAATTAAACCGTCCACCCTCGAAATTTCGCGGCCAGTTTTGTTTTCGACCGCCACACGACCATATTTTATCTCTACACAATATTGAAGTAAATCCATCTAATGATAATTTCCTGAGAAGAGGTTGTGAGAAAAGTATTTGATATAAACATAAAGTGGTTTCAGACCATCCCATCTCAATTACTTAGCTACACCTTGCTAACTGTCAAGGGTCAGTTTTTCTTTTCCTTTCAAGTAACCGACCTTTCTTTCCCAAACAACTCATGGCATGAAGCTCGCATATTTTGAATTGTGCTTGTATTTCTTTAACTTATTTCATATAGAGTGCCCACATACCGTCCATCTCCTCAAGCTTTTCTTTGAAGCTGTCCTCGTCTTTCTTCCACTGCCTTAACCGTTCTTTATAATGTTCCTCTAAAGCGGGATCCATGGACCCAACTTTGAGGTTTGTCATATCAGCTGCATATTTTCCCCCTACCAATCCCGTTATTGCATTGCTGATAGCCAGCCAGTACCTGTTGAATGCAGCATCATCCACAGAAGCCTGGTTGGCATGGCCGTAAACTTTATTACGATAGTACTTTACTCTGGCTATGTTAGCTTGCTTACTGTTGTCTAGATCAGGAGGAAGAGCGTCCCAGCCGGCAGCCGGAGGTGCCAGCCCACAGATATTTCTAAGTAGTACCACCAATAGTGTAATATCAAACTTGTGTGATGAAACTGATGATGGGACAGCTGGGAATAGATCTCCCCATTGTGAAGAATTGATAATCTTTTTCGTCTTGAGGTTATGTAAAGTTGCATTATGCGGAGGCTGCGTTAAGACTGTCTGGAGTGCTGTTTGGGGGTGAATGCCATCAAACGTATCTCTTAATACTTGAGATCCCACATCCACTAGAAGACGACATAGTCGCGCATAGTTAGTTGTCTCATCTGTGGAAGGAGATAATTGCGGCTCTGAGGAAGCCATTGGACCTTGGTCTGAAAGAAAAAGGTTGTTCTGTAAGTTTTTCGTGTATTTCAAGTCTGTCTTCCAAGGTTTTTAAACCAAGTGAGGCACCAGCTGTTGTTATTACTATCGTTCAGTTGAGTGTGGATAAATCATCATGTTGCTAGAGAATGGCTCTCGCCGAACTGTTAGAAAAGTCAGCCTAACCAAATTAGCAACCGAAAATAATTTAACATCAAATTTGATAATTTTTAATGTTGGTTATAACTATAAAAAAATTGAAATGAAGCAACTTCAAATTTTTCAGTTTGCATGTCGTGGTTACTGTTTAAAAAAAAATACTCTCTTGCTGAAAAAACTGAATTATGCCATAAAGGAAAATCAGATAAGAAAGCGAGTTGTAGAAAAGCTTCCATTTAAATATTTCGGTGCTAAGTTTGACTCGTGACAAGAAAGAAATCAGCCAATTCGAATTATCGCGCCTTAGTTGGTTTACAGTAAGTTCAGTTTAAAATGCAATAATGTTTGCTGCAGATTGCATTTCAGATCCTTTCCATTGATATATAGTTTATGGTGGTTCTGCTTCAAATAGCGCGTTAACAATTTTTTTCGCGAAGGACGCCCCCGAAGTTCTATCGTATCCTTATTTTCATCTCTGAGCAGCCTTTGCTTTTAAACGCATTTCATGGTTTGGAATGTCGCCAACGTTTGAGTGCATACAACCAACTGTCAGTTGGTGGAATTGTCCGCTTACGAGAATTATTCCCATAAGTGGACACCAAAGCAACACAGGGTGGATGTCAACTTACAGGAGAGTGCTATGGGCATATTGTACTTTTGTCAATGTTAAACGAACGAACAGCTTGCTCTTGTGCAGATAAATGGAGATTTGACAAAAACGACCCCCTTTGTTCTGTGACTCTGTCAAAGGTCATATTTTTGTTGATTTGGAAATTCTAGACTGATTTTATCGCCAAGTGTAAATTATATGCTTACGACAGATTAGGCTCAAGAAAAATACACCTTTTACTTTCGAAAGTGTCCGCGTCTGCTCAAGGGAGAGTGGACGTCCGCTTTATGGGAATGTGAAAATATAGAGTATAACTGGGAGGCAAAAAGGGGAATTGTCAATAAAAGATAGCATTATACTAAATTAAGACTAACATTAAACATAACCACGTTCTCAAATTGAAAACTCTCGGTTCTTAAGATCTTGAGGGGTTATAACTTGTAATTGCAAAGAGATTTAGTCATCAAAAAGCTGATTGAGTTCCGTTACCATTCAGAGAATATTAGGGGTAGAACATTATGCTTCTCCAGTTTTCCCACGGTTGTCTTATAATAGATGCAAGAGACTGCGATCGATAAGCCTGCTTACTAGCTAAACTTAGCATGTTAGCCGTCTGATCATGATGTAACCACTTTGAAGAATTCGAACATTCTACAGACATTGTCATGTAATTATAACGCGGAACAGCTTCCGCAACTCTTTGTATTGATTTTGCCACTGATTTACACAAACCAATCTATTGGAGTTTATCAAGACACTTTACAGGGCGCTTACCTGCATCTTAAACGGTTATTTTGCGATGAAAGGCGTATTACTTCCTTACTAGCCTGGCGACTAGCTGTTTGTGAGAATGTAACTGATATCATACCACGCTTACCTATGACGTAATTTTACCGACTGAGATAAAGGGTGTTCAAAAGGGCATCTCAAAATAAAACTGAGCCCGCACTAGCTGATCAGATGTACACATTTCGTTTTGTTTCGTTTGGTTACTTTTCCCAAATTGGGGTGATGGGTCTTACTAATAACTATTAAAATTTTGGCCTATTAACGGCTAACGGTTTATATTTTTCAGGTCACTGGAAATATTTTTACGGTCAACTTTTCTTCTAATCACTCTTCAAGTGTTTAACTCGATAGCTCACAAGTGAGATGTTGAGTAGGACACGAGAAAATAAATTTCATGTCTACGAGCAACCATGTATTATTTTGTTTATCATATAAACACAATAGCCCTTTACTAACAAGAAGAGTCATCTTTATTAGTGAATGAAAATAAAAGGATCGACAATTCCCTAATAAAAATCGTAAAGTGCGTTGGCGCTAAGGCTCAAGATGAAAAAATGCGTTGAAACAATACAAAAACAAACAATGGCGTAATTTTCAATATACAAAATTCTCAGTTATTGACTTGGCCTTACTAACAGAAGAAATCTTTCAGGTACACGGCCAAAATCGGCCTGTGGCAAATCTTGCAGTTGTCGATTTTCGTTCTCAGCCGCGAGAAATGCCATTACCAAAGCCACTGAATGCGTAACTTTCGGTTTTTCGATTCATATTTTGGTTTTCTTCCCCTTCTAGGAAAGTATGAACGTCACTGTCTGAGAGCGATACGGATTTTTCAGTGTTTTAACAACCATAATTAAAAAAAATTACGACAAACGACCTTGGATTGAGAATGGTGAACGCTTTGCCGTTCATTCATCAACCTGGCCGAATAGCGCGAAAGGCGAGTGACGTGTCATCAGCTGATTGGCGACATCAAACATCGTGAAAAAATACGATATTTTTGCAAGTGTTTTGTTACGGCTTTTCGCAAAGCTGGAAATCCTTGTGTAACACCGTGGTTTATATGATAATCAAAGTGCTGTGAGCAAACTCGTGAATTGACAGATGACTTACATAATTTTTTTGGATTATGTTTAATGTTATCTGGTTTAGGGAATTTTGTGGTTGATTGTCATATTTAGAAAACGTGCAGTAGTTCAATGTTCGCTAATGTAGCAAAGAAACAAAGTAACGTTGGGATAAGAAGGCATTACAATTGAAATGATCATGCTATTATATTTGACAAGGGTGGATGATGTTATGTGTTTTTACATATATCATTTTTGTTTCTAGTTCAAAGGAAAAGGTTGGAAGTAAATGTGGGTGAAAAGTGAAATTTACTGTCTACCATCGTAAATATTGAAAAATCAAGGCAATACTGTCTTAATGAAAACATTAATGATTCCCTCTTTATCAAATGAGACAAACGGGAACGAGTTTTGAGTGATATAACTAAGCTCAGACTGCCACCGTCATTTTGGATTTCCGCTTGGGTAGATTTTGGTCACGTGCTAGGCAACGTATAATCATGAACAAGATAGAATTTCATTTCAGGCCCAGTTATCAATTTTGTGGTGTATAACTTTCGCATTTTAGTACGTAATATTTATTTGAATCTTCAAATTGTCTTGAAACTTAAAAGAAAATTGTTCTTTAAAAGTTCACTGAAAATCGGTAGCCAAAATTAGTTGTTTCGGTGTTATTTGGTTTTTTGTGTTAACCTGTAATTTCGTCAGTCGCCGGCCCTTTCTGTTGCTTCACACAGAAAAAACACACGATACGAAACGTAATGATCGATTTTGTCCCCAGTCTCACGCCACAACAGAAAAAGCTTTTGAATACTTGTAAACTTCGAGCGCATGGGAGGAAGTGATATTTTTAATAAATCTTCGGATTGTTTTCATGTTCAAAGATTGCGAATTACAATTTTTATGAAAAACGAAGGTTGTTCTCTTATTTCAGTGTGAATCCTCGCACGCCTGCCAGTCGCTGGCGCCGCTTGATGAAACTAAAACTAAAACCAAAAAAAAAAACTCTTTTAAGATTATCATTGGCTTCTTTTTTCACCCCACCACCGTCACTATTCTTAGCAACAAAGGTCGCCATTTCGTTTGTTTATTACTCGCCAAAAACTATCAAATACACTCAAAAGCCTAAAATCGAAAAAAAGTTTACAGGAATCGACCAATTAAGCGAGCGAGGAAGGGCCATTCTCCACATCATATCTACAACTCGCTCTTGCGCATGCGTGCACGAGTTAAAAAGGAAAAATTACCCAGCCTCACTTAGCGCCCACGGTTGGGCACTTTTAGAACCTTGCCGAACTTCTCTCACTCACAAATGTCGCTCGCTTCCCATGTTAACTTTGGTAACGTGGAAGTCGGCCACAGTGGGTCCAAACCCGTCAGGGCTAGATTTTGGTTTTCTTTAACATTTCGTACTTTGGAATCTTATGATCGATGGAACATGCACATTTTACGAAACTTAACATGTTAGCCGTCTGATCATGATGCAAGCACTTCGAAGAATTAGAACATTCTACAGACATTGTCTTGTGTTTATAACTCGGAACAGCTTGAGTAATCTCTGTGTAATGATTTTTGATATAAGCTCTTTAAAGAATTAAGCCCTTCCAGGAACTGGGCTCCTGGCCATTCAACAGACGTTGATTCAGCTTGAAACACATGCATTTATAACTCGGAACAGTTTCCAGAGTCCAGATATTAACATAACCTGAAACTCGAAAATTTATAACCCGGAACAGCTTCGGCAATCTCTGTGCATTAATTTAATAACTGATTTACACCAAAACTATTGAAGTTTAGCGTGACACTTTATGGGACGCTTACTTACTCACTCTATTCTTTTCAAAAAATTGGAATTCTATGGCCAAGCAGGTATGGCACTAAACTGGGTGAAATGTTACTTCACAAATAGACTGTAAATAGTCCAAGTCAATGGGAAAACCTCATTCGAAAAAGGACTTTTCTGCGGCGCTCCGCAAGGATCCATTTTAGGCTCATTGTTCTATATTTTGTATATCAATGATCTCCCAAATTGCATTAGAGATGCTGAATGTCTACTTTATTAATGTATTTCTTACCAAAACTGAAATCCTAAAATTAAAATTACCACGGCTCTTTATTCCTTATGACGATGAGAGCGACTTCGCACTTAGCTACGTTCTCGCGCCGTAATTTCGGCACCAGATCTCTGAGCGGTACGAACTCGGAAATGGCCTACTGATTACATATTTGTTTGAATCTCAACTTGGTTCAAGTGTTCGAAAGAATTATTCTTTAAAGACTGTTCTTTGCAACCCTTGATCCACTTAACTGAGAGTAGGGTAAATAAAATTCTCGCTTTATTTATTGACTCTCTTGTCATGAGTGATTTAATAATGCACTTCC